TGATGATTCACATTTAATTTGGATTTTCCTTCAATCCACAAGGGGGTTTCATCATATAGTGATAGTTGTGTGATAACTGGTACTTGAGTGGCAACCAACAAAAGAAAGCTCAATCAATTAATAAAATAGGTTGTAGATCATTAAACTATCATTTACATTCAAAATGTATATTTTCTCACATCTATTAAGGATTTCAAAAAGATCTTCTAGGTTATCTAGTGACATAAGTATTCGATAACTTGTATTGAAACTTCAAAACAAGTAAATACATAGTATTAGCAAACGTTAGAGTAAGAACTATGAGTTAACCTAGCTTATTACCTAATAAGAATCCCAATATCTAGATATAATTACAAGGTGTTTCTAAGGAACCACAATACACAATTATGGATGTTCTGAAACGTGATATGACACTTTCCGGATCAAAGTTTCCCAAAATTAATGTACACACACCCTGATGCACCATTTTGGGCAAACCCCGTATGGTTCAACTACAAATTCAACTTTCTATATACTCCAGATTCTCTTATGTATAAACAACACAATCTTTGGTTGAAAGAGATTCGAATGGAACCGTGACACAAACAAGGGGTTGACGAAAGCAATTGAGAAGGGAGAGTGAGAATTGAAAAACATTAAAAATCATTGGGAAAAATGGAGATTGGTTCTCTGTCTATGTTGTAAAGTTTTTGAATATTGAGAACGTAAGATGTTCTTACCAATGTTGATTACACTCATGGCCGATCATCGAACAAAATCATCAATTTTAAAAGCCAATTGACTTTGCAAATATAAATACAAGTCAAAATCAACATGAGAAAAGAAGAGTTTTACCACTTTGGCTTGTTCAGGGCAGTAGCAGATGCAAAAAAAACATGTAATGCCTACCTTGTTATTTTTTATAGATTGTATGTGCACTTATCCAGATAGATGATGATATGGTGGAAAGAACTCATCAATTTACAAGAACCCATCAAAATAAAAATCTCAAACACATTACTCTACAAGAACCAATCTCGAGCAAGATGTGGTGCGAGGCAAAATCAAAATCAAAAGCGAGCGGAAGTTAGGGTTTTTTTATACGAGTATCATATACACTAAAAATCATAAAAGTTCGTAAATACACATTATTAATAATTTATTATTATTTAAATCATGTGTGATAAAATACCATATAAAAAAAAAAAAAGAATACTATAACATTATTTATATAAGAAAAGTAAAACGAATAAGTATTTATTTTCATGAAATTTAATCGGATACATAATACATTTATTATTATAAAATCATATAGCAAGATAACAAAAAAATGAAAATAAAATATGAATGTATAAACTAAGGAATTTTTGTGATTGTTTATAAAAACAATTTATTGACTTGTTCCGGTGTGATACCGGTAATAAACACTTCTGAGTGTTTGGATAAACAACTTATACCGGTGCCAAACCGGTAAGTTTGAAAAAGTTAAATCATTCTAACTTATAATAAGTTGATAAACACTTTTATACAAAACATAAGTTGTTTCAAATAAGTAATCCTAAACACCTCTAAGATTTATATATGGACAAATAAATCATTCACTAATTTTAAGAATTTAATACTAATCAATAGATTTCAAAAACTAAAATAGTAGGGTATAAAAGTGATTGAATGCATGAGATTAATCCTTACATTTTTCAGTCTTTTTATGTTCTTATTTGATCACAATCCTATTACTATATTAAATATTATTAAAAAAATTATATCTTTTTTATTTACTAAATTTTTTGAACTATTATCATTTAATACAAAATTTTACGCCCCAGTTTTTTGTGGGCCCTAAGCGTGTGCCCGGCCCTAGGAACGGGCCTGGGGCCATGTCATCCGCATAACATTATGTTAACGTAAAATTATATGTGATTTTATACATGATTTGGTTGTTTTCATATTCTTTTATCTAGTTAGTGTTCTTGTTAAACCCCTATATATATATATATATATATATATTTATCTGCATTTGTATACATAAAATTATAACAATTCATAACTTATATACTGTATAAAGACTAGAAACCTAACTGGTTATGTGGTCTGAAAGTTATAAAGAACCTAAAAATTCCTCCATGTCCTTTTTTTTTTCTTTTTCCAATCGATAAATATCTCTAATCAGGTTACTCTCCTACTGTTACTTCTCCTTCATCAACATCATCATCATCAATTCATCATCCCAGACTCTCTGCATATTTTGTATAAATTTCTTGCTTTGTTTTTCTTTTTTAGATGGAAATCAGTTGGTTATGAAAGTTTGATGATTATTTCAAGTGAAACAGACTGTTTTTCAACTTGCGAGTGGTTTCTTAATTGCTTCAACTTTTTGCAAATTATTTTTAAACAAGTTTTATTTATTTATTAATAAACCTGTACAGAGAAAGCATGGTGAGAGGAAAGGTGGAGATGAAGAGAATAGAGAATGCAACAAGCAGACAAGTGACTTTTTCCAAGAGGAGAATTGGGCTTCTGAAGAAGGCCTGTGAGCTTTCAGTACTTTGTGATGCTGAAGTTGCTTTGCTTATTTTCTCTCAGAAGGGTGAACTCTATGAGTTCTCAAGCTCCAAGTAAGTTCCTCTCTCTCTCTTCACGATCTTGTTATAAAATCCATAAACATAAGTCACTTCAAGCTGTGATTTGATGAGTACTCATGTGTGTTTAGAAAGACTCCAGTGCAATACCATGTCTAGCTTCTGCTTTATTTAGTTCTTCACCTGACACAAGAAAACCCTAGTTGGTTGGTAAATCACTTAGGCTGTTACGTACTTGTGTACTTTTCTCCGGTAGCTTTGTACGCTGCTTGATCATGGTTTTAATCTTGTTAATGTCTGTACATTTCCATAAACTTGATTACAGAGCTAATTATCCTAAGACCTTGTTAATATCCATTCACAGCGACCCATCCATATGCTATGGCGATCTGACAATAAGCCCAGATCACATTCAAGTGATCGCATAGAGGAAATCAGTTTAGGTACAGAACATACAGGCTGTTATAAGTGAGCTCGCCTAGTTTTGCCAGGACTCATATAGGGGCTAAGTTGTGTCCAATCCAAGCTATCTTCGGTCACTGTTGTGGGATGTAGTCCGAATTAGCACTAATTTCATTGTATCTTCAAAATATTACTTGTGGCTTCTCTCCTAGACGAACCAAGAGTTTTCTCCATCATTATTGTTGTATTTCTCAAGCTTGTAACATCGTCATCAGAAGTCGACAGCGGGTTAGTTCTCGGTGTTTTCCACTCATAATTTTTCCCTTCGTGGGGTTCCGTGTAAAGATCTCGGGTGTTATCTCTTTTCTTGCTTATGTTCTGATTCTGTGGTTTCGCATTAATTGATTCTTTTTAATATCCATATAGAACTTTAGTTCATTGTTTCTTGGCAATATTGGAAATTGACCCTAGCTACTTTTGCGCTACGCGCTATTTTGGGTCGTTGATTTACAACAATTGGTATCAGAGATCCAAGATTATGATTGAGATTTGATTGATTGAATATTGTAGGATTATCATTTTTCGACTTTGACTTTCTTAGATCGGTACACCCGATTTCAATTCCTTTTTGGCTTTGATTAGACTATATATATATATGTATCGAATGAATTCTTCAGGATGTTGTAGAAGAGAGGAAACAACTTCTTTGTATAGTGGACAAGGCTTGATCAGTTACTTTTGACAAAGAGTCTTCCCAATAGGCTTCCTATGAAGCTAACTAAATTTGTATGTCCATATTTTATCCGTAGGTGGTTCCGTGTCTGCACATATTTCTAGTTTCGAAGAGCTTGTTAGTGATTTGGATAATCTAGATCTGCAGTACGACATGTAGGATTCGGGTTTGATTATGTTACGTTTATCGTTGCCATCATCCTCAAAACTTTTTGGATACTATCATATACAATTGGGATACTCTCACTTTTAAAGAGGTTTATACCGAAGGGAAGATGAAGGAGATAGTTCCTGGTAATGAGCCAAAGGCCAAGGGACTTGATGCATGCAAGGGGAAGATAATTTGAAAAGTGCTCGATTTCTTCTAGTAAATCAAGGTCTAAATCTCGTGGTATTGTAAGAAGAAGCTTTGCAATTTCCACAAATGAAGAGGTCATGTCATTGATGAATGCTACAAGCCAAAGACTGTTAGGGGACTGTTTATATGAGTAGTGTCTGAAGATATATATTGTGCTGATGGGTAACATTGTTACTTGCCTTATCGTGGGTCAAGGCATAATCAGAATCTTCATGCATGATGGAGTCGTCTGAACCGTTGGGAACATGAAAAAGATCATGCCTTGGTGACATGGGTTTGTTGAATGGATGAGTGCCTTCAATTCTAGTGCAGTGATCGAGGCCTCTTATGTATGCCATGATTTATCCGTGACCTGACCTTTTATAGATGTAAACATGGTCAGTTGATACATGGCCAATCGAAAAAAGAACATTAGACAGTTATGCAGTGAATTTCCGTTACTTGACGTATATGATGGATTTGTCTTTGCATTTAGGATCCGGATAATAAAAGATCAGCACTAGAATTATGTTGTATTAGTTGAAAAACATATTTGCAACCTATTGTCTCCTTGTCCACAACATATATATGCATAATACATGGGGGTTAATGAAGTTGTCAAGGAAGCAGTCTGCCTTAATTAAAGGACTTTTTAGCTTGCATTTGGTTCACAGTGATGTAAGGGTGATCAAGATAAGCAGCACTCACGACAATGCATCATATGTTGTTTTCAGTTTTTGCCTAAGATGAAGATTGGCCGAGATGGTTTTGGTGAGGTTTGAACCATGGTCTTCTAGCATACCGCTAGACGAAAGGCCCTTTGGTTATAACATACAGTGATTGATTTTCATAAAGTTGGTATAATATTACAAGCAACTATAATTAGATCTCGTGGCCTTGGAGTTGATTTCCATTGTATGTTAGATCACTAGTTCGATATATCAAACCCCTCATGAGTTATTTCTATATATGGTAGGGTTATTGATGATTACCAAAGAGTTTTTGTTATCTATTAGGTGTTTACTTCTATTTTCTTTTTAATTTATTGCATGTGTACCATCATTGCGATCTGTCATAACCAAGGAAAAAAGAACGTTGTATGCACCAATGGCCTGTGTACAATTAACAGGGCCGTCCCGGGGAGGCCGGACCGGGCGTACCCCTAGAGCTCATAAAAATTAGGGGCCCAAATTTTTTTAATATATATAATAATAGTTCAATAATTTTTTTTTAATATATATAATAATAGTTCAATAAAACTACTTGCTTCGAAAACTTTGATATATTTTTCATAATTTATCTCCCATCGACTTTTTTGATTATTCCATCCTCGCGTGAATTCTATTTTTTATATTAGAATATGGTAGATTTTCTTGTTATTAGTTAACATAACCCTCATTTTTTGATAAAATTATCAACCATATGAGACGGTACAACTTATATTTATATTTAGAATAATAAAACTATAATATTTTTTTTCATAGTTGTTCTTTATTTTCTAATATTGAGTGTATAAATCTTATATACTCTTCTATCTCTAAAAGAAGAATACAATCTCAAATTATCACCAACATGAGTTTTTTAATTTATATAATCGATGATTCCAGAAAAGTTTGTTTTAACCCTAACCCTATGTTTTTTAGTCTTCTTTTACGTAGGAAAGAGAGAAAAGTAATAGATGAAGAAAAATATTATGTTCTCGAGATTTTTTTAGGAAAAGAAAAAGAAAAGGAAAGGAAAAAAATTATATCAAATTATATTATTTATTTCATTATTTTCCTTCCTCTATCTTCTCTATTATAAACACAAATAAAAAAAACTTTTTTTTCGTCCTTTCTTTTATTTTTCTTTTCCTTTCTCATTTTTTTCTTTCATTCCCAAATCCGAAAACATAATATAAAAGTTTAAAATGATGTTAATCTTCCCAAATTCAAAAACATAATATAAAAGTTTAAAATGGTGTTAAT